TGTGCTCCCTTCATCACAATAGGACTTGTTTGGAATCATCATCTATTGCTCCACAGTGAAGAGATGGCTCAGCAGGAGGCTGCAGGACTCATACACAATTACATGAATAAAGGTGTATGAAAGGCTTCATTCATACTGGCGTGCTTTGTTTGCAGTGCATGCGCAGTCCAGTTTGTCTATATTGGGTCATGTTTGAGCTTATGCACACTGCATTAAAAAAATAAAGATCATGCTACATTTTGAAAATTCTAATGGCCTGGTTGTCATTTTCATCCTCTAGAGTTAGTCCGTGTTCACACTTTGGCATTGCATGAACAAGTGCCAAAAGCATGTCATGTGTGCGCACTGCCACACGTTCACACATGCCAAAAACGTGCAATGGGATTGTGGTGCCATTACTTGTTACTGACACCCCAAAGTGGTGATCTTCTGGCGTTGTGGGGGTTGGGATCAGTGATTGCGCCTGTGAACCATTGGCGGCGCTCGCCCTATCCTTCCTCCCTTAATGAACAAACTTTCCCAGAATGCAAAGAGTTCTGTGACTGGAGGAGGAGGATCCTGTCTTTCATGCACCCATCCTCCACTCACATGATGATTTGCATTCTGGGAAATAATACTACAAGTTCTGTGAATGGGCAAGAGAGAAGGAAGGGGAGGTCGAGTGGTGCTGATGGTTCACAGTTTTAGCTGCTGATCCCAACCCCAGCAGCGCTGTAGAATCAGCACTGTGGGAAGTATTCGGCATCAGTGGAGGAAACATTTCAACACTAAGCAGCAGCCAGCAGGACATGCGACTCACTTCATTAGGTAAGCTCCACGTTCTTCGTGATGCATACAATAAAAAAAACAGCCACAGAACGTTATGCATTCTGGGAAAGTTTTGTGAATGAAAGAGAAGGGGAGGGTGGACAGTGGTTCTGATGGCTCACGATTGCTGATCTAAACCCCCGCAGTGCCAGGCCAACAGAGGAAGATTTCTACAGTAAGCAGCAGCTAGCAGTACACAGGACTCACTTCAGAGGTAACTTGTGTCCCTGGTGCTGCATATCCAGAAAACAAAACTTCAGCTTTACGCTTTTCTCAAGTATAGGACAGGTGTGATGTCTCATGGGCATTTACATGGGCAGGTACTTCTGGCATGCTGAGGGCAGTTACCCAGGTTCCTGAATAAGACAAATACACCACCTGGAGTTAACTAAGTAAAAAGGTCAGAACCTTCTGTTGGATAATTAGTTTAGGTTCAGCAACAATAAGTCCCCAAAAAAATGAGGTCAGCTGCCTACCTGAATATACTGAATGATCAGGTTTTTCCATCAATTGATTTTTTCTTCCCTGATGGCACATTGGGCATATTCCAAGATGACAATGACAGGATTCACCGGGCTCAAACTGTGAAAGGGTGATTCAGGGAGCATGAGACATCATTTTCACACATGGATTGGCCACCACAGAGTCCAGACCTTAAAGGGGTTCTAAACCCTCTGTTTTTTTTTTTTGCCTATATCTACTGCTAACAAGCAGTAGATATAGGCAAGAAGTTTTAAAAAAAACAAAAAACCGCTTTAACTAGGTTTAAACTTACCTCGTTATCGCTGTGCGCTTCCCCGCCGAGAATCAAGAACTGCTCGTACGGCCGCAAAGGATCTTGGGGTGGGCGCATGCGCAGTTCCGATTCTCGGCTGGGAGACCAGCAGAGACGCAAGGTAAGTCTATGGACGCGTGCACCCGCATGCAGACACCGCTGGATCGGAGGGACAGAGCAGTCAGTGCTGGATCAGAGACCCGCCACACCGCTGGAGGGACACATGAAAACATCAGGAAAGAAGATCGGAATAAGAGACATCATTTAAGGTAAGTGCTGACATTAACATGGGGGGGAAGGAATTTTTTTTTTTAACTTTAATGTCACTTTAACCCCACTGAGAATCTTTGGAATGTGCTGGAGAAGACTTTACACAGTGGTCTGACTCTCCCATCATCACTACAAGATCTCGGTGAAAAATGAATGCAACTATGGACAGAAATAAATGTTGCGACATTGCATAGGCTTATGGGAACAATGCCACGGCGAATGCGTGCCGTAATCAAAGCTAAAGGCGGTCCTACAAAATATTGAGAGAGTGCGTGACTTTTTTTTGGCCAGGCAGTGTATATATTTGTCCCCAGGGTTCCTAAATCCAATGTAACCTACAATAAAGAATCCCTCCCGTCTTATCCAACTTAATTTACTATTATTGAGCCAAACACATAAAAGTACAAACTACAGGATAATCCATCATGAAAGACTGCGATCTATATGAAATGGGTCTCTGTTACTTCAGGACATCACTAAATGAGATACTAAGTGCCTTAATTCGCCGGGAAGGATCAAGGGGTCCTAATGATGGGATTCACATGAAGTGATGCGTGTTCCCACTGACAGATCTCAGCTGGAAAATAGGATTGGGCAGGTGTTGCACAGAAGAAGGAGATAGGATTATATGGACTGACTGCACAATGAATTGTCAAGTAATTTGCTGCCGTAACGAAGGAATTCCGTTTTAGCTGAAAGCGACTCCTAAAGTACAGAGCTACAGGAACTGGTGGCCATTTTGAAATTTCAAGCAGATCCAATTTGCAACTGGATGCACTTTGCATCATCATAAAGAATTGTCTTTATTAATAAAAATACGGTTTTAATCTTTTTTTGCATCTCAGTGCTGCCGATCTCTTCCAGCCACTTCCTGCCTACAAGAAGCATTGGCTGCACATCATTGCTCTGGACTGGTTTCCGGTTGTGACAACTGTGGACCAGGCCTGCACCATGTGTGTGGGCACTGCTGGTTGAAGTCTCAACAAGACACTTGTGTGACAGGGTGATAACGCAGGCGCACCATCGGGAGACAGTTGTCAGGAAGAGCCTATACAGCAGGATCACTTGGTAGTCTTTCATGATTAAAAAAGTTTGTAAACACCTTTTTGATATAACATTAGGATTTGATATAAAATTAATAAATAGCTCCTGACTGTCTCTTGTTTGGAAGCAAATCCCTCTGTCCCTCTTTCTTTCAAAGTCGTCCCTCTTTTTGGTCTGATGCATAGACCTCTATAATAGATGTACTATTTACCAGCCAAAAATATTCAACTGCACTAAACCTCCCCTACAACTTCAAATAGGTTTCCTCTGAAGGATTACTGAACAGGAAGTTAGCAGTGTTGGAAAACATCATCCACTCATTGTAATAGCTTTATCTAAATATTTTGTTAAAAAAGAGTGGGGAAGAGTTAGGATTTGTCTGCGGTCCCATTAAGGAGAGTTTTCCATACTTCCTGTTGCGTCACAGGGACGGGAAAGTGAGGAGGAATCACCCTATTGGGGACACAGTAAAACATTTTTAATTACCTTTAGGCCCTACTCACATCAGCAATGCCATGTGCAATGCCCAGTACGGTGCTGATGCGCCAATCCTAGCACACGGCGCTGTCTACTTTCGTTACAACTTTATTGAAATGTCACAGGTGGGCAGATAGAGGTGTGAGGTGGTTGTTCCATGTCGTATCCTGCTACGAATGGTGAATGGTGCCCATCTGTGACCAGGCAAATTGCCTTGCCTTGTCTTCTGTTGTGTTGGGGCTGCGCTAGTAAAAACGGCCAGTGCAGCACCAACACATATGGTGTAAATCTGTTCTAGGGGTAAGTTCAAATAAGCAGTAAACTAGCACCATGTGCATATTTCAATCTTTATACAATCTCCATAACAGGAACGTCTTTCATAAGGCATGATCCAAAAGGTATCACGCCTGTACTGTATTAGAAAGCATGTTCCTAATAAAGAATGTGAGAAGGATGAGAGCACCAAGGTGAAAATGTTAAGTCTAGTAAATATTTGTTTTGGGGGCTCACCGGTCCCCCTTCATCATTTATGTGGAAACCTGAGCTGGAATAATTATGTGATATCTGAAAGAGTACCAGCAGATGTGGGCCGGCAGCACTGCTCATAATAAAGAGGCTGCACACAGATGGATTTGTTGCCGGCTTGATGCTTAGGCATGCACAGAAAATTAATGCAGCCACCACATCTAAGGATTGGTAAGTTGCAATATATTACATTTTTAGTTTTGGGTTTAAATACTCTTAAGTTTCACCTGGATCAGCCAGAACAACTGATGAAACTTTTTAAGAGTTCATAGAACGATATTTCCAAAACTTCAAAACTTTTCATACGTACGTTTATGAACATTGTACATGTGTAGTTGATCTTTAAAGTGTATATCTCTAGCCAGAACCTTTTTTCTTTCTAGTTTTGGACAGTGTGGAGGAAGGGTTTAAACCTGTCAGATTTTTCAGTGTCCCTGCTGGGGTCACCCGTTCTAATCAAACTTTTATGGTCGTCACTGCAACAGACGGTTAGGGGAAATTTTACAATGGGGACACCTGCTCTGGTAAGAATTGGGAGATTTCCTATCACATTACAGAGACTTCCTTTCGTGTCTCTTGAACAGGAAGTGAAGAATAGAAATCTGGCCATACACTGTTCAAATTTTATTTGGCCGCAGTTTGATCAGTGTGTGACTCCCCCCACACCCCCTCCCCCCCCATTCCACAAAACTTGATTTTTCAATTGAATTTTGTCAAAGGGGCTGGTTGGAAAATTCTCAGCAGTGGTATTCTGACAGCGGCACACCCGCTGCTGTAAAAATACAAAGGGATGCTAAATAGCAAAGATCGATTTTTAGAGCATTTTTAAACCAGCAGGGCTCAAAAAGGAAAAACTATTACACTATAAAGATAAGTTCTAAATGGTTACTATGCCACCGGCAATTGTTTTTTTTTTTTTTTTTTTAAGAAGGCCCAGGACAAAATCACAAGCTGCTTCATT